ATTTTGGCAGAAAACAAACCAAATTCCATTTGAGGAAGAAATTAGGAGAGGACGCTGGAGTTGGACAGAACTCATATTGCGGAAACCATCAAACTGAATCACGATGCAAGTGATAACTTGGAATCCTTAAGGAGAAAGGAGAAAAGGCAAAGCAAAGCACACATGACTTCAGGAATATGATGCAAGCATGAAGGCCATGAGTAGCACTTGATAAGGACTAGAAAGGAAAGCCGAGGAAAGAATCGCTCAAAGAAACCTGGTTGGTGGCCTACGCCACACTAAGCGTAATAGATTTAAGTAAATAATCTTGAAACCCAAAGTTCGATAGTTTGAACAGATTTTGTGCATACTTTTTCAGTGGGTACCATACTATGTACTGTGAAAAAGTATTTAGGTTGGAACACCTTGTAAAATAGATAACTATGTGGGATTTACGCCACTCGGTTTTTCACGACAATTGAGATTGGATTCTGACCGTTGTGTAACTCAATGGCGTAAAACCTTAATAGGTATTACTCCAAACAAAAGTCAGTGACAACCTTGTTATATTTTTCTGTTATATTCCTCAAAAACAATTAGATGTACATTTTAACTAGATGAAGTCTACTTTAAGGTTTTTTTCTCAACATTTACTTATGAAAAATTACTTCTCTCTACGTTCTATTTGTTTAGAATACTGAAAGTAGGTTTTGTGTAATACATTTCTTAGTACCAGATTGACAGAGTACTTTGACAATATAATAACAAGAAATTGGACAAAAAACTAACTGATTACGTATATGTGTGTATGTATCGGGTTAATTAACAACCAATAAACCCATTACAATGGACTTCAAACTAACACTTGATGAGATGATAAATTAAAAGCTCGAAAGACAAATCATTAAGGAATTCTTCATGTTGTAATTACACAACTAATCACAGCCTTCATTTTATAGATGAACTACTTAACAAATCTCAGGAAAATTTTGATAAACTGAGTTTATTTTTAGGATTCGCTCATGATATTTTCTTGGATTATAATAAGGACTTTAAAACCAAGCGACACTCAGATTATATCAAGGGCTTCAACGTAACTCAACAGGTATTAGAATAAAAATATGTACAAAAAGTATTTATAGCTGAAAAGGGGCATTCTGCAGATATTCAACTGTCTTAGCTGAATAAAACTTAGGACAAGCGCCAATTTAATGATTCTAGAAGAATAGCAGGGATCCATTTTATTTCATTTGGTTCATGCTATTCTGCTAGAACCTTCGTTCTTGCCCTCTTTAAAATGATAAAGGGGAGTATGTGTATGAAACTAATTTAATCGTTTCATGCTTTTACTGATACGCTTTCTACTTTAAATAACACCACATATTGAGATAGACGTCTTGCCATGTTGTTCTTAGTACTCGGTCAGTTTAATTGGGGGAAATTCATAATTTCACCTAACGGTTTAATTTCCTCCTGTTGGACTCTACACTTAAACATTTTACTTCCGATGAACCCAATACATAGAATAAGTATGAAATGTAATTATTCAGAATGAAGAATATGAGGTTCATGGACGCAAAATGCAAGAAACTCTGGACTTATATGTCAAGCCTGGTGGTACTTAAAAAAGTCCATCTCTAACTCTTAGGAGAAGTAACTCAGTAAAGTGTATCCTAGTGTATTGAAAAGATAAGTAACCTACTACAGAAAATTGATAAACTTCTCCATAACAGTTAATAAGATTTTTAATTTAAATTCGGTTAATAAATACACTTTTAAAGATTATTATATATTGTTATTTTATACATGAATAGGTAATGAAAGAGAACAATGCGAAATTGAATAAATCACCTGACGATGGAAGTTATATTCGTGGCTTATATCTAGAAGGTGCTGGTTGGGATTCCACACTCAATTTATTATGTGAATCACGACCAAAAGAATTATTTGTCAATATGCCAGTTATATGGCTTATACCAACAGAAAATCGTAAATCACCAAGTCAAGGAATTTATGAATGTCCAGTATACAAAACGTTAACACGTGCAGGTAATGTCTATTTAGTTATGGTCAAGGAATTTATAATAATAGTATATGAAATATAAATTCCATGTTGAGTTAGTATTCATTAAGGAATTGATAAAAATAAGAAAGCGCTAGACAGATGCTTTTTCCCACTTGGGTACTTTTCAGAAATGTGAACCCATCACTCTTTGCCATTGAGTGTTTGAAACCAGATATGAAATCGACCCCCTGTAGAATTGGGAGTGCGCACTACTAAGACAACTATTCATTCCGCCTTTATTCTCCGATTGGCATCAGTTCATTAAATATATATTCTGAAAATAATAATTACAGAATTCATGCCAGTTTGCAGATATGATCAACTTGACATAGACAATAATTTCAAACGTAGGGAACAGACATGTGATATAGAACCCCATGTATACTAGTAAAGCTTCAAGTTCGACCAAAAGACAGTTTTCCGATGAGATTTCAGACACATATTTGGTACAGTGATACAATTTTGAACGGTATTAAATACGTTACATGTTAAAACGTTTTTGTTAACATATCTGTTATAAACCGACACGTTTTTCAATAAATCTTTTGTTAACTTCCGACAAGTGCTTTACGCATGTAAGTTAGCAAGGCTCCTCAAGGACTAATCACAACAGCAGTTTTTCGAAAATACCTGTGTTGGAATTAAAACCAAACTTCATCGACAGACAGTAATGTGTTCTTCATGATTGCAACGCCAATAAGAAGATATAGCCATACAGGATATTGACAGTCTTTATCAGAGATACCTATCTACACAAATACGAAACATTAAGCAACTAGAACGTCTGGCTATTTTTAGCCCGTTATTGGTATCACTTCACAAAATTTAAATGTAGTAGTACGTAACAATATGATACGTGTTTTAGAATGTAGTTTAATCTCTATAGTATCGGGTAGTAGATATATTTAATGTTACCACATATCAAACTTAAATTTTTATGCGAATATCTCAATGTTAGTCCAGTGATAGTCGTGTTTCGTAAGGATGAATAAGAAGCAAGTTTAATAACTTACGAGATGTCCAGCATGAATGGATGAATAATGAAAAAAACTATGAATTACACTAAAAATTCTGGTTGTGTATATCAAATAACTCAATGATTCAAACGTTTGAAATGACTCATTATTAGTATATTTTACTCTACACTTGCAGGAACTCTATCAACTACTGGTCATTCAACAAATTTTGTATTTTCCATTGAAATTCCAACTGATCAACAACAAAAGCACTGGGTTCAACGTGGTGTAGCTTTATTATGTGCATTGAATTATTAAAACAATTAACATATTTGTATTGTTTAAATATAGAAAAATACAAATCAGATACCTTTGAGAGAGATGAATACAATATTATTACTATTAATCATACATATGTATCTGTTCTTTGCATTCGCTGTATTATTTTAATTATAATTAACACATCTTAAAAGAGAATAAAAGTAGAAAAGAAATTCAAGAGAATTAGACAATGATGCAATATGTATGTATGTATCGTCGGTTTCCACAAACAGTTTTATTCTAGCATCTATCCCCTTCGAGGGACTGGCATTTATAACTCTCGTTTATAATAACTGGATAGAAGTTTGTTTAAAGATTTAAACTGGTCTACTCTCCAAGTACCTGGATTTGAGCTACACTATAAGTGTGAGGACTAGTGATACTATCTGGTTACTTAAACCGAAGTAGGTGGAGCATGGGTTCAACCTGCAATTCAGTGACTGAAAGTCGAACGCCATAACAAATAGGCCACCGCTCAAGACGTTTATACATATATACACATATATATGGTAAAAATAAATCTCTTGTGCGCTTCTGTTGATTGATATGTTTACGTGTGTAAATATGGGAGAGGAAAATCTCAAAATAATATTACGACGATTGTAGTACATAAAGTCAACTACTACTGATGAGCGGATAGCTCAGCCCAATATAATTGTCCAAAAGAAGCAAGTTTATCAAAAGTAAATAAACTATTAGCATATTCAAAACAAACGTTATATTTAAAATAAACTGAAAAATTGCAACGAAATACTGACAAATACAGTATAAAAGCTGTCAATTATAATAAAAAAGGGGCTTTCTTTCCTCTCAATATTACAAAAACAACCACTGGACAATTAAGTTAATAGTACAATGAAAATAGACAATCTGAGATTATCTACAACATTCTCAATGTCCAATAAGTAAGACATATCAATCATTTTAGTTGTTTTTCTGTCCATTAAGTAAATGAACGTTTTGCACTAGTATAATTTTTGTTGGAGATTCCACTTCCAGCTTCAACTTTTCACATGTTAATATTTGTCATCTGAGATTTTAGTCAGCGTTAAACTAACGTTTTCATAGCATACAACTGGAGATAACTCTAGATGATTGAAATAAAATCTTCTAGGAAAGTTAAACTTCGATATGCAGTATTGAATAATTGGGAAAAAAAATGATCGGAAATGATGGATAAAATACACCTTTTATACATTGAAAACGTTGGAGATAACTAGAGCCTAATATTATCCTAAGTCGTTTTAAAGTGAAAACAGTTATAATATGTAAAAAAAAATCTACGAAATTCCGTTTAATGATTTTAATTGTATATCTTTTAAATTACTAACCAATTGAACACGTTGTTCTAATGACCATTGAGGATACCAAAAATGAAATAAACGTATTTGACATTGAAATATATCTGATGAATCTGATCTTTCAACAAATTCTGAATTAATTTGCAAATTCGTATTCATTAAATGTGCTAAGAATGTATCATTCATTTGATGACCAATAGTATTATTCTGATGTATAGAACTATTGTCATGCTCATTGGTATTCATTTCACTTATTATGGATAATGAATCATCAATGGATAAATGATGATCCACCGTTTCGAGACAATTTAATGTAGAAAGAAATAATTCACGTTCAGAGTTGTTCCATTCAGAAAACCAATGAAGAACTAAACGTACCGCCTGAATTGGAGGTATTTGTATATTCATTGAAATTATTGGGTTCCAAGAAATCTTGACAAACTGAATGTTTCGAAATATAAAAAAGTAAAGTTAAGATTTTAGTAGTATTCAACAATTGCTTCTCATCAACTGAGAACAGGCTAAATTTGCAAAAAAAAATATCAATATGTCAATGGATTTCAGACAGAAATTCAGTGAGATCACCAGAAATTTAGTGGACATGAAGTGGAAAGTACTAGAGGATTTAGGATAATTAACGAATATCAGACGCGTTACTTATTTCCCTTTGTAGAGGGGATTAGTATCAAGTTTTTCCCAAGGGATCTATCTATACAGTAAGACAACGTGGTCAATCAAACTATATTCTAATAAACATACTTAACCCTAAATGGTTTCACTTACCAAATTCCTTTAAAAATCCACTGACTTGTATTCATCCAGTAAATTTCACCTTAGTTGTGTTGTTTCGTTACCTCATCGCTTTTTCTATTGATTATCGTTGGTAGATTCATTTCCTTTACTTCACATAGTTAGGTTTCAAACAAAAATCTTCATCAATCATAACTGCAATATTCACAAACACTAACTGACAGCATCTTACCATATTTTTTTATCTAATTCTGAAGTTCCCTTTTGAAAATAATTCACTGGAACATGAAAATCTTTTTATAGGTAATTAGATCATTAATTGTAACTATATTCTGTATGAATATGATAGGTTTTCAAATAGAATGTGACTTCATTATTTAACAGCAAATCTTGTTCTTAGCCTTGATTAAACATTGTAAAATGAAATGTATGAAGTAATTTCCACTTATTATATAATAATTGTACTTAATGAAATATACGAGGATATTTTCACTAGTCAAGTGGATACTTATCCAATAAAAATGTTTGGGTATTCAGAATTGCCACATTTAGAAATTTAAAGTAGTATTCAAGTGTTAGTGTTGCGTTCACTTCTTGTCTGGTCTTTATGATGAAATTGTTTTCTTCATCTAGTCTGTTATAACGATTTCTAGCAGTAACATCATGAGATCTCATCAAAAGTTTCTATCGATCCCAAACAAAATATAACTTTTTCTATGAACACCTAACAAATTAACCAAAACGTCAAAAAACAAAGCCGACAAAACAATACAGATATTAGGAATACATATATAACTCACCTATAGTTTCTTTGTAGTGTTCAAATTGAGAAGTTAGACAGTTATTTGCAACTACACAAGGATCATGTGAAAGTAAAGGGACTTCATCAGTTTCTACGACATCCAGTCAAACTTGATGCTAACGAATGCCTAAATCAATACCGTTGAAAGTAATTGAGCTGAATAGAAAAAATAGTATACAAGAGAAAATGAACCAATGATGTGATGCAAAAGAGTAAGATTATTAACAAAAGAATAAATAAATCAACAGAATAATGAATTACTGGTATTATCATGTTAGACTGGAGAAGTTGCTTGCCGCAGCAAGGTTATAGGTTATATCTTTTTGAGCAATAGACTCAGTAATTGATCATTCACTTCATCACTGAGAATATGTTACTTTAATTCCTTCGTTTGTCAGTCATCATTGTTCATCTCGTCGTCCTTATATTTGATTATAACAACTCAGGACAGTTTATATTTCTGCCCAAATCTAAACTGATTGACATATTTATGGTATAGGATGATAACTTTTTTTATCTTAATGAAAAGTATAGAAAGCAATTAAGGATTTTAATAAGCTTATATATAATAGCGTAAAGTAAAATGTACTTCTATGGATGTACTAGTTGAGTGCATTCAATTTTAACCAGAACAATAACAACAGAGAAAACGTACATCAACAATACGCTGATAAAAGAAAATAGAAAATCATAACGTAAACAATATTATTAGTAATTCAGTCAAGTACAATGAAGTAGCTGCATTTTCTCTTGGAGAATAATATAACATCATAATAGTATGTAGCAAAAAAAGAATACCAGTAAAATGCAACAATAATAATAATTAATTAATGGCAACCATTGTAGAAAAAAAAATAATGTTAATGTAATGAGCAGTGTGTTAGATAACAAATTCAGTATATAAGTAGTAAAATTTTGATCGCAAAAAAAGTCAAAAAACCATGGTTTACAAATTTCAAAAGATAACAAGCATTGAATTCATGAAATACACATATTATTTAAAATGAATAATCGATTATATACTACTTCCTTCATTTAGAATTTGACCATAACATTCTTGTAATGTATTCATTAGATAAGGTAATAATCCATGAAGTGATAAACGTTTCGGTGCTAAATGTTCAATAAAATCCAATTCAGCACCTAAATACATAATTGCAGAGCGTATTACAACATATTGTATAATTGGTAATAATTGATCAAGTTGAGATAAATGAGATAATGTATCCGTCGAACAAATTGATGGGTTTCTGCAATCATTATTATTCTTAATTGATGTTTGTAGATGGGAATCGGAATGTTTACTTTTACTAATTATCTAATAATGTTGGATATTTTATATGATACACACAGATATGAGTGAACACAAAGGACTGTAATAGAAAGAGATAGGAAGATAAATAATTACTAAAACATTCGAAATTAGTGAGCTACAGTGTGATTAACAACAATAGACAAAACGTAATAATAAAGCAAAGCTGTGATTACGCAATCGAATATCAAAGAAAAAGAGATCAGTACGATACCAATTTTAGTCCCTGATACTAGAAGTAGTACCATATATCTTATCTGGTCTATGAATATAAGTGACATCACCAACGATCACCATACAAACGATATGCTTTTTTGTAATGTATAACAATTTCTTGTGAACTGACTTATTAATTGTTCCCTATTTTGTCAGAAACGTTAAATATAATTTTTTAATATCTGCTTCAATCTAGACAGTACCTGTTGTACGGTAGATTAACAGTGCATGCATGTTTAAATGTTACGAAAGAAATTTCAGACTAAAACTTCTTTGTAACCATATGATAACATCAATATTAGTAACACATCCAATTAAGACGGATAGACCAAATAAACTGACGACTAATAAATTCTGATTTCGGTCCTAAAATAGTAACTTATAGATAAGTTTCGATACTTAACTTTCTCATGCATGATATTTACTCCAAAGAGCTAACAACCATGCTGCATCAGAAGAAGATAAACGAAAAAACATAGGAATAAAGTAATATTATTTATTTTGAATAAGGAATAAAGTCTGATTGAAATAAATGAAAAGTAAAGCACTGAAACACATTTTATATTGAAAAGCTTTGTCGTGAAATTATGAATTGTTAAAAGACATCTAAGCTATACGCAGAAGCTTCGTCGTAATACTCTAGAACTGGAAGGTCTACATTTATTATGCATCAAATTGATAACTATAATGTTTAAATAACTTTTAAAAAGGTTTCATAACCATACCGAAAGGGATCGTACCCACGATCTTTTGGTGTCACAGCGTGCTTAACCTCTAGATCACCACCAAGCTGGCATACAATACTTTGGATGTTTAACTTCAACCAATTTGTGATATTAATCAACCGAACTCCGGGAATTACCTCCAGCTACTAATGAGTACACGATAACTAATGTTGTACATTTTTTTCATTGGAAATAAGCCAAACCAAGATTAAATTTAACTTACATGATCTATAGTGGGGAAGGTTTGACATATAACTGACATTTTTCTAGTTGGGGGTTTTTTATGGCTATAAATTGAATAAAATAAATGTTTAAATTTAGTTTCGGAAATAAGAGCCAATCAGTATGCACGGACAACCCAAACAACATTAATAACTTGATATTAGTGAAAAGTAAACTTTATGAAATTAGTATGATTATTTCATTAATTTAAAGACCAGATAGTATTAAATTGCATTCTCGTAATATCAAACAGTTTCACCTTTAACCAACTTTGCTTATCTAAAGTGGTTGGGACATGAAGGTTCAATTGATCATAAAGATTTACAAATTAAGCGTCGATCGACAAATGAGAAATTTTGGTATGTTGTGGAGAAATTAAATCCCACAGGTAGAGGTTCTTCCTAAAATGTGTAGCGCAAATACATCACATTTTTTAGATCAACTCGGTCTTCTCATTGATCAATCAAAATTTATGAAAGGAACTAATTGCTTTAAATCCTATATTTCTCAAACCGACGATACGCACTCAACCTTCATCATACGCACGACACAGGGATGAAAATATAACTATTACAAGTCATATGTATAATGCAGAATATTCATAAAATCACCTTTATTCTACAAATCAATGAATGATAAGGAAATGATCACCAAATACTTTGCCATTCGATCTGTTTCATTGTTTATAAACTTGAATATTACCAGTTAATTTACGTCATAATAAGTTCAACAATTAATCTTTAACATTCATCCTTATAAAACTAACTGGAATGATTTTAGATCGATGCTGACCTCTTGGATTTCAGTCGGGAATAAATGAATGATTTTTATTTTTATTTCCTAACCTTAGGTATGTTACATCAGGATTAAATGAAATATTACTGAATAGACTGTAGTTGACGAAATCAAAATATTATTAATTTGAACTTACCTCAACTCACGAAGAAAACATAGTTGAATTAAAGACAGAATACTGATCCGCTTCAAGTGACTACAAATTAAATAAACGTAGGAAATTTATAATAGTAAATAAATTCTGTTGTATATGAAAGGTGTGCAGCATGTTGTTCATAATGAACTATGTAAACAACGATGATAATTGAATTGGAAGATGAATTATATAGACTAATTGCATCCCTTTTGTCCCTTAGACCGTTTAAAACTTGATAAAACTCAAAATATTAATCAAATATGAAAGAACCTAGGTAAAAATCAATGTACAGATTGATCAACTGTTTGATACCATTAATTGCTTCTGGCCCACTATGGGTTATTTGGAAAATAAATCCTTAATATGTTCTAATTTGTGTTATATAAGCACGTGAATCATTAAGTAATTCATTGGTTAAAAACAATAACGACTGAATATGATGACAACCAACATTTTACAACGTCGACTATCAAGCTAGAAGTTATTTAAGTGGAAAGACTAAAAGACTGGTCAACCGCAAGATGTTGATATTAAGGCATTACATTTTTGGCATCGATAAAAATTGCACTACATGGGAAAATACGATAAAGTATCCTAAAATTCCCTCAATGCTACGATATGTAATGAATTTTTACTTGACTTATCAAGTTCCCATCTTCCTTTGTTAAACTATCAGCATGATTTGATCCATAACCAGAGCTCATAAAAAACAATGCTACACAAGAAATAAACCTTTAAGTCAATTATGTAGACGAGACATTATGATGATGAACAGAATTTTACTTACTGGTGAGTTACTACTGTCAGAAGATGATGTGTCCCATAACCAAAAATTTCTTTAAAAAAGTCAACTTAATACAATAAACATTAATAACATCGACAAATAGCAGTAAAATTAAAGGACGAGTATACTGCAAAGCAATTTGCTGTTCTGCTTTATGGCTGTGAAACGTGGCCTCTAAAAGTACAGAGAATAATCACAAGTTAATAGCATATAGTCATGAGTGTCTTTGAAGCACTGCTTACGTATTTTGGGACCATCGAGTGAGTAATGTTGAGGTTAGACATAGGGAACTAAGATAGTGAATCTTCATCGACTGAGAAGGTTGGACTGTTTATTCATTCTCAACTACAGCCCACCTCAACAGGAAATATTGACTGGTATCGGAATAAGTTGGAGAAAATGTAAGAACGGCCAAACCAAAACCATTTTATTTGTTTATGAGCCGTGTGGGTAGATGCAGACTAGTTGGTTGGGGAACACATGATTACCGTTAGCAGCGATTAAAGACGTTGTGTAATATGAGTCAGAATTGACCTTTATGACGCATATCCACTCACTGACTTCCTTTAGGTATTCAGTCTAAAATTATCTTACACTTTTTACTCTGAAAATTCATTCATTTTTCTTGAATCAAATTGTTTTTATTTAATCTTTTCAACTACTACCACTGATACTTTTACTAATTCTACTACTCTAGCATGCCTTGATAGTTTTTTTGCTGTAGGGTTATAGTGTGGCAAATTGGACCAATACATATATATTTCAGGTCCCATAATATTCATGACTGATTGATTGACGGTAAAGCTATCATTCAGTTAATTAATGAGAGTTTGTGCCAAAAAAACCCAGAAAGTTGTACTTTTGTATAATTTTATCAATGATTTTATCATATGATCCCCAACGGTAGACCATTAAAATTCTCGGAGTTCTAGTGAGAAGCCGTGACCAGTGGAGCTAATCCTTGTCGGGTAGAGACAGTTATCTACTTAAGTACAATGGAAGTTGGTCGCGCAACTTCGTGGATTGGTTGATGTTAGAAACTATCACCATTGGATGCCGGCTCAGTGGTCCAGTTGGTTAAGCGTTCGCGCGCGAGACCGAAGGCCCTGGGTTCGAATCCCGCTCGCGGGACCGTGGATGCGCACTGCTGAGGAGTCCCACAATAGGACGAAACGGCCGTCCAGTGCTTCCAGGTTTTCAATTGTGATGGTCTAACATCAATTGGTTCAAGATCTCAATCAAAAACTTAATAATCTCCACAACCCCTATACTAGTAAACATAATGGATAGTTGATTGCATGATGTAGTTAACCAATACATGATATTATTTATCTATTTTAATATATATACATACACTTCATTTGTATTTATATTGCGAATTTGAAATGAAAATAAAAGTGATCTACCTAGAAAATGAATCTTGACAGAAAATGAAAACTAATCCTTAATCAATACAAGAATGTAAGGTAAGTGATGATAATGAGATATACATGAAGTACACACGAATACACAAACAAACATACACACATACATATACTTATTTACCCACTTAATTGAACTTCCGCTAATCTGTACAGAAATAATCGTTTACTATTAATTGAGTTATGTTTCGCTTCAAATTTTCTTTTACGTTCGTTTTTAATATTATTTTGATTAGAGGAATAAAGGCGATGGTAGTGGTCTACATGAGTTGAACGTGTAATTTGTTCATTAATTTTTCCATGTCAAATTTTTCATTAACAGTAGTAAACTAATAACACTTTATACTTGGCTTACAAATCTAATTAATTACTAACAGTATATATATACAATCAAATTCTCAACGACCTAAAAAATTATTTGTTTTAAACAGATTAAAATACCTGAAAATGTTTATTCTCAATCCATATGAATAAAAATATTAATAAAAACTTGTAAATTTACTAATTTTGTGATTTTATACACGGTAAACAAAACAATCGAAGTTGAACTTGAAGCAGAATGAAATACCGTATCAGAACAAATGAAATAAAACTAATAAACTGAATAGTAGAGGAGACGAAATAATCATAATAATAAATAATAATAAGACAGACTAATCAACGAGACCATATTTCACAAAGAACATGAACGAATACTAGAAGGCAAGATCTAGAAGGAAATAAGGAGCGAATTCATCTGAGTCATTGTGACCAATTCTCAAGCATTTCGCTCAACATGTCCAACCACTTATGAAGACTATTGAGCGGACCCCAACCACGTTATATATATATACCCTTACGTCATTCCAAACCAGATTCCCGATTTTCAGTACTTTTCATTGTCACTGATACTATGATTATTTCAGTTTCTTTGCTATTCATCTTTATCTTATGTTTATGTATGCTACAACAACTTTGGCAGAAAAGCACACGTTTGTTGTATTTCTGAACGGCAGTATTATTAAATGTACCACTGAATTTATCGACCACTGGAAGACTGCACGATAAAATGTGTAATATACCCTAGGAAAATATGAAGAGAATAGTAAATAATTGTTAGTATCACATGACGATATGACTTTGAATACATATATAGGAAGGCGAAAATTTAGTAGTCAATTTACACAACAGCTCGATTATTGTAATATAATCAGATCTCTGATACATCAGAAGAAAGAAAGAAGAAATATGTAGAAAAACGTTTTGATTAGTGAAGTTGAACCACGACGAGTTTAAGACAATCACTCACCAGTGAGATTAAAAAGCGGTTGCACAATATCGCAAATTGACTGTAGCTAGATATATAAACACTATTGGATACCAGAGCAGTGGTGTGAAGATTAATTGCTCACCATGAGGCCTGAAGGTCCTCAGTTCAACTCTCGATGAAGAGTTCATAAATGAGCACTCCGGAGAAGCCAAATATTAGGAAATAACAAGTGCCCGGTGACTCCTGATTTTGAATGGTTGTTTAACTGAAATCAGTTTTTGATGTTTACTATTAAAGAAAAAGTTAGTAATGACAAGTGGTGTCAATAAATGTTAACATCAATCATCTGAAAAAATCCCCTCAGATGTAAGACAACAAGATTAAGCTAGATAATATTTTACTCAATACAATAATAAGCAGTCACACTCAGTAAGTCCGGAGTAGAACTCACTGAGAGGAAAGGAAATCACATATTTAACAGTCAATAGGCATTTAGTTTATTGGCTGACATCACGAAGGCGCCAAAGATGGCGCAGATTGGCATAAGGCTCTATAGCTTTCACTATACGTGCATTGATCCCATCACTCACTCCACCACCAGCACTTACGCAGCTAACTCGATACACGAACTTCTCGACTACTTCTATCTGCTCCCCATCCAGGGTGAGTATAGGATTAGAATCCTGCGTCTTGTAGAAGTACTTTGCACTAGGAAGGTGCGAAGCACACACCATACCTACGGACATTGATTGCCAACCATGGGAATGCATCTCCTCACGATGCTCCACTGCCTTGTGAATCAGACCTTTAGGACAAAGGCTCAAGAAGTCGACCCCTAAGAAAACCACTTGCTTCGATTTGGGCACCCGGGCAGTATTACAGCCCACAAACACACAAATATGGTGTGGCGCATATATATTTGGTGCCCTATTGTACCAATATTTATGTGTTGAAATAAATAAATAATAAAAGACAATATCATCCGCATACTCAAGGTCGAGAAGTCTTTCTCCAGGCAACCGATCAACACTGCCATTAATTACAACCATCAGAGCTGTTTCCAGAATGTCATCGATGGCAAAGTTGAAGAGGAGTGGTGAGATTGGGCAACCCTGTCTAACCCCACTGCTCGAATGGAACAATGAAGAGAGGTAGTTGTACGCCGTCACTCTGAGTTGTTTGTATATAGGGCCTTTAAGATGTTAATTAACTTCTCAGGCACACCCTTCTTCAATAGACAGTCCCTCAGAACAGTCCTGTCCAACGAATCGAAGGCAGACCTGATGTCAAGAAACACTACGATTGTTGGACTGTGATAAGTATGACGGTGTTCTAACATTTGGCGGAGGGTGAAGATATGATCAATACATCCTCAACCAGAACGAAACCCAGCCTGCTCCTCGAGAGTCAATCTTTCTCGAGTTTTGAACAACCTACGAAGTATGACGGAAGCCAATAGCTTGGACGCGATCGGAAGTTGACTTATCCCCCGATAGTTGTTACAGAAACGACGTGAACCCTTTTTAAAGATAGGGACAACTATCGACTCATTCTATGACGTTGGTACACTCTCTAGCTCCCAAACCTTTGTAAACAACGTTGTCAGTTATTTAACCAGGAAGTCACCACCATCTTTAAAAAGAGCCGGAGGTAAGTCATCTGGACCAGGTGATTTGTAGCGCTTCAAGAGTTGGAGTTCCTTGCGGAATTCCGCCTCATTTGGTGGATCAGTCGTCACCGGTCATGGAGGGCAGGACAGTCTGACCGATGTTGCCGAAGCAGCAGGCCAGTTGAACTGTCCCTCGAAGAATTCTGCCAATCGTCCAAGACGTCGATGGATGTCAGTGATTGGCATCCCGTCATCCTCGCAGATTGTTTCACTCACACCAGACTTCTTGCTGCCAGTGGCTCGGATGAGCCGCAAGCGGCTTTACTCGCCATTTTGATGGCGTCGTGAAATTGCTACCAACTTGCTGACATCAATCCTTTGGTGGCGGTCACTTCGTTGGCCACTGAGAAGTAAGGTAAGATTGGCGCAAACAAGGGCATGATCAAAGTCCAGATAGGTACACCAAAAGCAGTGGCAGTCTTGTACGCAACCACGCTAGCGGTAGCTGATCGCGATGTGATCAATCTGAGTCCAGGCTTGAGATGCAGAGGGAGGACTCCAGGTGGCACATCGGCGATGACTGTGCCGAAAGTTAGTGCTAGCCAGAAACGGGTTGTGGTATGTACACAGTTGCAGTAGACGGTCCCCGTTATCTGTCCTGCGACCAATACGTCCCAATCGGCCACCTAAACGATTCTCTTCTGTGCCTAGACGCCCGACCTTAGCATTCAAGTCTCCGGCTAGTACTACAATGTCTGTCGGACGCACTTTCTGAAGAATTTTCAAGCCATCGACCAGTGTACACATTACCTGTGTTCAAAAATAACCAGAATAAACCAGTGAAGAAAACCAAAGTGCAAAATCTGTAAAACAAAAGACAGTCTGCATTACAGACCGAATTTAGAAAATCTGAAAATGCTGTACAGACTTTTAGTCCCAGTATAGGGCTCCTCGACAGTGAGGACCTACGACGCCTTCAAGGATCGAAAGACCTGAAGGCCTCGCGGCAATGGTAACTTAGTGATCTGAGGGTTAGGCGCATGAAGTGGAACTCGAAGATCCTAGGTTTGGTATCCAGTGGAATAGTGCGTAGGTACTGCTGAGGAATCCTATGCTAGAACAAAACACCTCTCTAATACTTCCCAAGTTTTAGTGATATCCCAACCAAGGTCAATCAGTAACAAGTATAACCTAGAATTTAGAACCAATCTCCACAAAATTCCCGTCAACTAGACCAAATTATTGTTCTCTAAAAAACAAATCAATATCAATGAAGTATTATTTCAACCACTTAACTATTCATTGGTAGGATCTACCAAACCCAATCTCCCAATATTGGGGAAAATTTGATCCATTTCGGGGAAATGGCACTAAAACCCCACTCTTGCTACTTAAGTAGCTGAAATGTATTTGAATGGTTGTCTAGCTTAGATCGGTTTGTAATTTTTCGGCTAGACTCTAATTTGAAGACGACCTTTGAACGAATCTTAAGTGACCTTGACAATTATTAGCCAATCAGAAGAAAGTTAGTATAAAGTGAAAATATGTTATATGAAAGTAATGAATTACAGTGGATATTCTCCTGTTACATGATTTAAAAACTTGTTAAGGCTTGATTAATGTTCAGAGGCTCTGAATTCACAATGCATATGGAATAGAAACTCGTCTATTGGGTTAGGGTTAGTTGAGGGTTAAGGTTTAGGGTTAGGTGAGGGTTTAGGGTTAAGGTTAGGGTTAGTTGAGGGTTAAG